ACTAAAATTATCTGCAATCCTATCAGATATATCATTTATTTTATATGCTGTAATTTTAGACACTAATCCATGGATTCATGATGGAAGCTTCCAAAGATTATCAGAGTTTAAAGTGACTCCTTTATATGAAATTATTATAAGAAAGCCATTAATACTTTACCTACTATATATGTACATGAATAATAAGTGTTCAATTTTATCTCAGTACTCACGGAAAAGCTTAATTTAATGTGTTTTTTTCTTCAGAAATTTGCACTCATAATTATATATTTGTCACAACTTTTGACAATGATCCTCAAACTTTTTTATATTAATAAAATATAAATATTAGAAAGACTACAAATACGTTACATGTAGACTTCATGTCTTACAAGATTTGAAAGGAGTAACCACAACAAACAAAAAACTATCAATTTACCAATTACGCAATAAACTTTTGGCACCCACGAAATGATGGTATAGATGAAGAGCCATATGTATTAGCCATGCTCTCTACCAAATCCAATCAGTTTCATCATACTGCAAGACTTTTACTCCAAGAAGCAGTGCCTGACCATTTCAAAGACTAGGTTAACTACTGACTGGACCAAGGATGGCCCCTGGTTCAAGGGCACACCGACATACTCGAACTGAGGAGCACAGCATAACCTGATATTAAAAACTGCTAAAGTCATTGATGATCAGCCATGGTGATCAAACTGGCTTCTTTTAGTATATAGTCTTGACAGAAATGATTGGCTGCCAGGTAGTGATAACACTGAAAAACCAAAATTTGAAGACCCTTATAGCTCATGAGAAAAAAAGCCAGCACTTTTGAGCAGTCTCAGCTGTTCCTTGACCTCCCAGTGCCAATCTGTAAGTACTGTCATGAGAACAATTACCGTACCCAATTATTTCTCATAACATTACTCTGGGTGCCCAATTCTTAAAACCCAAAGCAACTAACTCTGGCAAAAAATAAAAGTATAAATTCAAGAAGAGATACATTCATGAATAATAATTCACAGACCCACGGTCTTTTAAATATAGTTTTGCAAATATGAACCCAGGGCCTACTGGCAATAAAATGGATTATAATTATTATAATTAGAACAGTCTGTACACTTGAAACTTTTTTGTTGAGAAAAAGAAGTCAAACACTGGCTCTCATGAGTTGATAACGACTGTCAGGAGTATAATAAAGTCAAGGCCTGTGACTTTTCTGTGGCCCAGCAGAGATGGATGGATTTTTCCTTCTCAAATGACTGAATTTGATGGCTGCAGATATGGCCAACACACTCAGCAGTAATGAAATTGCATTACTGAGAAGCAGCATGGTAGGGGGGATTCTTTGGAGTCGTATTTGAATGCTAGAATAATATGTGGTACATAGCATTTGATGCCAAACAGGTCAGCAGTTGCGGTTCTTAGTGGTGCTACTGTCCAGAAATTATGCCAAATGCAACAAAGCCTCACTGCCCAGGATCACATACCTCACCCATAGGGCATCCCACATCCCCACATCCTATGTAGGGTCTTTGTGGTAGTGATGGGGGCAGGATAGGGTCCAGATCCCTTGCTTAAGGCTGATCAACTTTGTATTCTGTTATGAATACCTTTAATGCAAATGTGTTGTTGAGAAAATCCTTTTTCTGTACAATCCTGCTCCTTTCATTCCACCCAAGAAATGATTTGAGCATATTCGTAAATAAATTTATACATATTAACCTCCATCTCATAGTCTTTTCGCCAGATAACCTACCTAAACATAAGGTAATAATTGTACCCTGATAAATATTCAGACACAGGTTTTGCATGGAAATGAGGGCTCAGGTAATGTCTGATCAAATTAAAGATAAAAATAAATGGATGAAGAGTTTAAAGAGTATAATTTAACTTAATCCATTTTTTTAAAAATCCAAAAGGATATAGTGGCAGAAAACAACCAAAGAAACTGAGTTGATAGCTGAGTTAGGGTGGCTCATATAGCCTGGATCTAACTTCTGTGATTTATGTGCCAATGAGAGGGGTCCTAAAGCATGGGAGAATCACCCTAAACTTCCAGCATCTTGAGAGGAAGCCATTGGAAGAAAAATACTCCTAATGCCTCATATTCTGTCTAAAAATTAATCATTTGAATTTTACATTCTGTTCCATAGGGCACCCATAATATTTTAGCAATGTTTTATTTTTAATATTTTTATTTTATTAGTACATGTTTGCAGTATGTACTAAATACATCATCACATCTTGGGGAACTGATACGTATACATATATGTGTCTCAATCCTTCTTACCTTCCCTTCCCCTCATTACTTTTTTTTAAATTTTAGTTTATTATGTATGTATAGCACATGATGTTTACATTCCTTGCAGGAAGGTGGTACATGTACATAACACATCTTAATTCCCTTTTTTTAAATCCCCTTTCCTTTCTCTCTCCTCCCTCCACCCATCCCTTTTCATCAAGGAGAAAAGGTTCTTCTCTATCCCTTTGTCTAAATGATGAGATATGAATGTAATTAGTCTTTCAACTTCATCTAGGTACTCTCTACTGCCTTAGGGTTATATGTTTTGAGAAGTCAATCACGTAAATATGTATATACAAATAACACTGGTTTCACTATAGTTTTAGGAACTAAATCAGATTAATTACTGAGGAAGTACCTATTCAGTTATTAACAGCAAATATTTATGAAGTGGTCTAGCATATACAGTGGGAAACAAAAGAAGCAATGACTGTTCTCTTGAAGGTTACATCCAGAACTAAGATTCCCACAATATGGCCTAGAGGATAAATATTGAGTACAAAATTTCCTACTAATGTTGGTGACAATTTTAGTAAGTCCCTCTTATGCAATTATGTCACTTCTGATATGTGGTGACCCATGATAGTTTTTTATCTACTCAGTATTATGTATGCCATAGAAAATAACTGAAAGGACATTTTTTTGTTTGTTTGTTTCTTTTTTGAGGCAGGGTCTCACTATGTAGTTGAGACTGACCTGAAACTCACTATGCAGCCCAGGCTGTTCTATTTCTTTGTTTGTTTGTTTCTTTTTTGAGGCAGGGTCTCACTATGTAGTTGAGACTGACCTGAAACTCACTATGCAGCCCAGGCTGTTCTCGAACTCACAGTGATCCTCCTGCCTCAGCCTCCCTAGTGCTGGGATTACCACTGCACCCGGCTTTCAAAGGACATTTTAAATGATGAAAAATGGTTAATGAAAATGCTGCTTATTTTATTTCTAAGTTTTGATTTATACCAACTGATGGTCTCTAGAATAAATTCTTTTTACCCAACTTTTGGACTTTGTTTTATTGGAGCTAATTTGATATATGCAATGAAAGCACCTACTATTTTATCATAAGGGTACTAATTGCAAGAACTCTCAAAAACTACTCATCAATCCAAATTATTGATTCTTTCCCTAATTTATAATTAAGATGAACAATAAGCAACAAATTCCTTCTTTAGTTCTAAGATTTCACCTTCCATCTTGGTATCTTTTTCTCTTTTCTTCTCTACAAAGTAAAATGAAAATTTAATTTGAAAAAATTCATCTTTTACTTTCCCAACCTAAATCAATCTTCATCTGCATAATTGTCTAATTTTTCAAAATTACTTCCTCTTTTATTACAAATGAGTTCGCCTAAAACCAGTAGCCTTTAGTTCTGTTTGTTTCCCTTAGGTCTGTAGAGTCAGTAACCCACTTGAACTGAGTTAAGTGATAAGACTAATAAAGGAACCACTTACAGGTGTGGGTAGCTATAGACACTCCTACATCAGAGGTATAGTACTTCAGAGTTGGCAAGGCAGGTGCAGTGATTTGTATACTCCATTGGGAATTTCCATTTTTCCCTAAGCAATGCCACAACTTTTATGGTTATATTAGGTACTATATATTTTAAAATATTACACTAAGGTCATAGGGTGGGCTCATGTTATAAAATAGAATATGTATGGGTGTGTGTGTGTGTGTGTGTGTGTGTGTGTGTGTAGTCTAAGTCATATAGACAACTTACAAATGACATAAGTTTATGAATAGGTCATTGGAGAAGCTGCTTCCTAAATTTCTGTTCTCAGGTCTAAACTGGTAGTGGGAAACACTGAAGAAAAGATGTAAAAATTTATATCTTGCTTTCATATTTCTTTCCCTAAGATTTTTTTCCCCAGTATTCTTAACAACAGTCACATCAATCTGTTTTAAAAAGTGCCGCGTTTCAGGATACTCACATAGACAAGTCATGCTGCTTTGGCCTATATTTTCTCTAGTACAGAGAGGCCCAGATTTCTAATATCATCTCATTCTCTCCCTAGAAGCCCCAGGAAACCTTCTTTCATCTCTGTACAGTTGATTTCAGGAAGCTTTGAACAAAACAATCACAATAAAATAACACACCAATGATCTAAATGCCAGCAGACACTCTTGACAATGGATGACTCAGAAATTTCTCCCAATATTATAAAAGAATATTAAAAAGATCAGCCTTAGAATAGAAGTTCAAAGATACATGAAAATTACATCGAAGCACCTCAGAACCCAGTTAAATCAAACAAATCAACCCCAAAAGTGAGACCAGTCAGGTAAAGTGAAGCCAAATGCATAACTCTGAAAGGGCTGAATAATGAACTTCTGGATAGTTTTATATCAAGAGATTAAAGTATAGCAGCAGTCAAAGCCTGGCAATTAGCATGCTTGAAAAAGTGGCATAGACGATGGCATTAACAGAGCAAAACATAAAAGGGTTAACAAAAATCTCTTAGTAGCAGATTGGGGAAAAAGAGAGGACCAAACCTTGGCCTGTGAGTCCCTAGCATGTACTGAGGAAGGAAGAGGTACCCTCACCCCACAATTCCAGTCATCTTTGGCTGGTGCTTTCCTCAGTGGGGGAAGAAGATCTCTCAAGTACTCTTAGCTGAAGAACACTTCATTAAGAAAGACTAATTCCTTTTTGTTTGTACTTAATATTCACCAAGTAATCTTGACTGTAGGTTGCATTTCCATCTGTTTGCCTCAGGGAGAATACGTGCACTCGAATACCACTTCATCAAAGTCTTGTCTGAATGCTGCCTTGGAGTCTGATGTATCAGTGAAGAACAAAGGCCAGTGAGCTGGATGTCTGGGTGGTGAGTGGGACTCTGCTGCGTACTACCTGTAGGATCTGGGGCAAATACCATTTCTATACTTCAGTTATCCTACCTTAATGGGAATTAACAAAGGATCCTGTATACCTTTCAGGACTGTTCTGAGAACTGACATCTGATTTATACGATTTTTTTTTTGTATATATATATGAATTTAGTTGGTTTAAATTGGCTCTTCAAGATTTCCTCAACTGGAGACACTGAAAAGACTTCTATGTAAACACAGGTTCAGAACTGCCCTCTGGAACTGCCTAACAGAATCTCTGGAAAGTACCTCTGTACAGTACTACCTCTCTGTTGTGTGTGAGGAAGAAGGAGAGAGGGTGGGATGGTGTTGCTTACCTAAGGCAAATTTCTTTAACTTTATGGCCAAGGAACACACTCAGTTTGGGGCAATAAGGGAACTGAAGCTGTCTGCGGGACATTTTCCCAGCATCTTTACTTGCCTTTTCCTCCTGCCTTTCACCCCGGTCAGAAAAATTCCAACTCAAATATAATTGAACTGAAAGTCCTTGAAAAACATTCGCTCTGACCATGTGAGGTTTTATTACTCAAATCACACTAACCAAGGGCTTACATTCTAAGGTCAAAGTTTAGCCTTGGAGGAGTCCATTTGCAAAGGTGTGTCTGTTACCTCGCCCAATCAGGGAAATAGAAAGTGAAAGCAACATGTCAAAGTCTGGTTCAGGAGGTAAAAGTAATACTAAGAATGAGGGTTAGGTATCTAGTAAATACAGCAGGACACATCCCATTTGAAAAGGAGCAAGAAGCAGAAGCAAAGACACCCAACTAGAGAGATGACTAGTGTTAGGCAAAAGAGCCAAAAAACCAGGATCAGACCAGGACTATAACGATCCTTTATTATGGGGATGATCTGCCAGGCTGTCTCTGAACAAAGAAGAGAGAAGCAACATGGCAGTATGGGGAGCTTCTTTTATAGGAGCAGGGTGGGGTTAGCCTAAACTGGGGTGGAGTTGAGTGAAGTAGCAAAAAGAGATTGGAGGAAACTGTGACATCACTAGCTGTTTGTAGGTAGCAAGTATTAGGTTACTTTTTGGTGGGAGAAGAGGCATGATGGGAAGAAGAAGCCTGTCTTTTGTTGGGAGAAGTCATATTTTAACATGGAGGCTGCTATTCTATGTGGCAGCCATTTTAAGGCAAGATAAGTCTAACTGCTAGATGCTCTGCAATGTTGTACGTTGATTACAAATTACTGCAAAAAGTCTTAGAAGTATAATGGTGCTATACAAAGGAACGTATCTTCACATCGATAAGCTTTTAAACCTTATACATGAACTGTGAATTGTCAGCCTGTACTCTTCAAATTTCCCACTAGTAGTTGCTACAAAGTTTGTATGTGGTATGCAGTAAACTCTGCTTTTATAATATTCTGCCTATATCACCTGAATCCCAATTTATGGATAGTATCATCCTTTTTCCTGAAAAATGGATCCAACCAAATCATTCTATACTTAGACTTGGCTGTCTATGCTACACACTAAGCCATCTGCATCTGCCACTCTCTCTACATTTCTGCAGCTGTTGCAGATTCTTCATAAACATCATACCAGTCAGAGGCCAGCTAGGGGACAGATGTTGCACTCAACAGATTAACTGAAAAGAGTGTAATCTAAGAACAATTTGAAGGATTGGGCACAATGGAGGAAGCACCAACAGAGAATAGTGCTCAGAGGTTAGTAAACAAGAAGCCAGAGGCCTCAGGAAGCAAGAGAATAAGGTGAGTACTAGGTCAAGAGCATATACAGTATGTTTTCATTTTGTATCAGTAAGATCTAGCACATTATCTCAAGCAAAAAAAGTGCTCACTAAAGCTGTTGAACAGGAGTATAAAATTTCTAGACTGGACACTAACTGGTGGAATGCTGTAAACTGAAACCAAATCCACCCTGGCCTTGTCCTATAAACAAAGCCGGCCCTTCCTCGACCTACAGGCAATGAGTACATATAAGTCAGTCCTGATTATGCTAGGGTTCCCAATAATCCAGGATAATCTTCTCATACAAAGATTCATTAACCACATACACAAAGCCTGTTCAGCTACAGAACACATTCACAGATTCTGGGGATAAGAACATGGGCATCTTTAGGAAGCCATTCTTTTGCTTACTTCCCTACCTCATAGGACTGTTGCAAAATCATAAAAGATATAAATCTTGAAATCTATTTTATTTAATCCTCAACATAAAAAGCAGGCAATAAATATTGGCTATAATTTTTACTAAGCTTCTCTCACTCCCTTCTTATTTCCTCTGTTGAAAATTCTTTTAACTTGTTTATTTCCCCAAACCTCCTTCCCTCTCTTTCTTTCTGGAGAGAACTTTTACAACCAAAAATGAAAGATATAGTTTAGGGGGAATTAATGAGTTCTGTTTAAAATTCATTGAATTTGAATGCTTAGAATCATAAGTACCTTTGAATTCATAGGACTTGATGTAATTGTTGAGTATATAAAACAGGAGAGAAAGATTGTAGATGATGAGGCAGGAAATCAGGGCATGGCCAACCACCTAAGCAAGTGGGCATGACCTATCGATCAGGCAGGTTTGAGACTATTTTGAGGAACAGTTTCTAGCTCTGCACCTGGGGCCAATCAGAAAGTGCTATCTTCATTTCTGATAGGATGGCCTAGATCAAACATGAGCCTGAAAAATGAGGGGTATAAAAGAAATCCACAATAATCTCGTGGCCAGCATAAGCTTTCTCAGTGACCCTCTCTCTCTCTGCAGAGCATACTTCTTTTCCTACCTTTGAATCTGGAAAGAATCTCTGGAAGGACAATGGACACAGGGTAGCATGAAAATTGAAAGTGAAGGTGAAAGGAGCAGAGTCTCTGAGGAGACTGAACAAGTAGAGAGATAAAAAAGATCAAGAGAAGGGTGCCTCTGAGCCTATTGTAGAAAAGGATTTCCATGAGGAGGGACATAGTGGAAAAAGTCTAACAGGAATGAGAAAGATATTTGGAAGCTAAATTAAACAGTGGTCTTCTGGTGAAGTTTCCATTGTGTGGTAGATGTATAAACTGGACTTTATATTTCTGCATGTTTCAATGGATTGCAGGCGTACGTGGTTGGTGAGAAAGGAAGAAACAAAGGTTTCATAATCTGTGGCTGTTATGGAAAGAAATGATGTGATGGTAGTTTAAGTGACCATTGGCAAGGGAGTATTCATTTCAGGGTGAGGTGGACTTAACATTTATCAGCCCTAAGGAAGGAGCCATAGAAAAAAGACCTTGTTGTTACAAAGGATGTAGTTCATGGAGTAAGCTCACAAGAGTTAGGCGAAAATTCGATTAAGTAAACAACAGAAGAGAGAAGGATAGGTAAAATAGTGGGTAGTATAAATATGAAAAGGAAAGGTGTTAAGGAAATTTCTTAGCAATTGCTTTTACTTTTTCTGTGAGATTATCTACTGAGAATAAGGGGGTAGGCTGGAAGCTGGGTGGGTGGTACTGAGTTTGAAAGAGCTATTACTGTAAATAAAAAGTTGAGCTGACCAGAATCATCTGAAGATTGCAAAACATGAGTAGAGACTTGGAGTTTAGAAATATTTAGGAAGATCCTGTCACTATGACTTTGACTGCTTTAGATGCTTCATACAACAGAATCACGAAGTATTTGTCTTTCTGTGATTGGCTTGCTTCACTCAATACAATGTCCTCAAGGTCCATCCGTGCTGGAGCATGTAACAGGCTTTCCTTCTTTTTTTTAAGGCTAAATAGGCTTTTATTGCCTGCATACACCATGTTTTCTTTATTTATCTGTCAGATATTTGAGCAGCTTCTACCCTGTGGCCTCTGTGATCAATGCTGCAATGAACATGAGTGTACAAATCTCTCTTTGAAATTCTGCTTAAAATCTTTTGTTTTGTTTTGTTTTGTTTTTGTTTTGTTGAGACAGGGTCTCACCATGTAGTTGACTGACCTGGAACTCACTATGTATGTAGCCCAGGCTGGTCTCGAACTCACAGCGATCCTCCTGCCCCAGCCTCCCAAGTGCTGGGATTACAGGCGTGCACCACCACGCCCGGTTTAGAAATAATTTTTGAAGATACTCCATCAAAATGTTGTATAGTTTTCTCTAACAGCTGTCTAAGGATTATCATGATGAATGGGAGAATTAGAGGATCAAAGAATAGTTGACACAATAAACTTCATTATCAACATTTGTTAGCCTGCCCATACATTCCTGAATTTCTAAATTCCTAGTAGCCTTCAATTTAGATTGACCTCAGACAGTCATACATACATTTGACTTCCTTATCATTTAAAACTGCTCCCTCTCAAAGCTCTTTGTTTCTGAAATTCCCCTCTAATCATAATTGATATAGTTTTCACCACTCTTACTACTTCTTTTCATCAGTTTCCTCTTTGCTTTCACCTTGAACTTCTTTCTCACAGCCTCTGCTCCACCTTTTGAGTTAATTTACTTTCTTTTTTTTTTTTTTTTTTTTTTTGAGTTAATTTACTTTCCTGGCCAGCTCTGCATTTTGCATGCTTCCACTCTCCTGTTTACATGAATAGCAAGAAGAAACTGGCTTCCCTTCACTTACCCACATCTTGTCATCAAGAAGCATATAGTTTGACAGTGGATCTCAGACTTACAGCTACTTTGTGAGATTTTTTACTATTTAAAACCATTCTGGTCCTGGAAAAAAAATGTTAAATTCTGAAGTGATTCCAGAGTAGAGTATCCTTCTGAGTGGGGCCAGGTTGGTGGACCTTGATGTCAGCAGGTGGAATTAAAAATCCTGTTTCTGATTTAAGGCCCACCCCATTCATTTCATTGGCTTTCCAGAAGGCTCACATATATTCCCCAAATTTTATTCATTAACTATTCTCCACAAAGAGAATGAAATTGCCTTTCAGCAGCTGAAAAGCAGGGTATTATTTCACTGGGATTTACTACTAAGTCAAATTTGGTAGTAAGATTTATTTTGCACTTTGAGCCACTACAAGATATGTGATCATAGTGGTTACTTATCTGGAAATGGGAATAAATATACTTAATATCTATAATTCTTACTAGGATTGTATAAAACAGTATTATAAAGTTCCAAGGAGGGTGCCTAGTGGTACTTCTGCTTTATTGTCTATTGTCAGCTAATCTCTACCATCACTTACCTTGCTAAGACTGGGAACTAATTCCCTTCCCAGTACAAAGTTTATCAGTGAGGATCAGACATGGCAGATCTTTCCTTGTGGCCTTCTGAGGATCTTTTCATTGTGTTTTGTAGGCCTGGTTCCTCGTTCCTCGTTCCACTTTGCTGGCTTGTGGTTTCTAATCTTGTGGTTATCATTATGCTGCCCATACTAGTGCTTCAGGTAACTGCTTTGAGATTATTTCTTCATGTGATGGTTAATTTTATGAGTCCACCTAACTGGGTTAAAGGATTCCCAGATAACTGGTAAAACTTCATTGTGTTTTGTCTGTGAGATGTTCCTGGAAAACATTAGTATTTGCAACAGCAGACTGAGTAAAGAACATCTGTCCTCACCCATGTGAGTGGTAATCATCCAATGTACAGAGGGCTCCGACAAAGCAAAAACTGTAAGAAGGGAAGATTCTCTCCTCCTTCTTAAGCTGTAACATCCTATTTCCCACAGTTCTCAGGCATAAGAATCTAGGATTCAGCCCAGGTTTTGGATTGTGAATTATCTATATGAGCTTCCCTGGTTTTTATTTAGGCCTTCATACTGTAAATGAATATACTACTGGCTTTCCTGGCTCTCCAGTTTACACATAGAAGATTGTGTGACTTCTTGGTTTTCATCATTCTATGAACCAGTCCCATAATAAATAACCTCTTATATTTCTATGTACATCCTGTTGGTTCTATTTTTCTAGACTGATATGCTGATATGTTATATTTCTTTGAATGTTTCAGTGGATTGCAGAAGTAAATGGTTGGTGAGAAAGGAAGAAACAAAGGCTTCATAATCTGTGGCTGCTATGGAAAGAGATGATGTGATGATAGTTTAAGTGACCATTGGCAAGGGAGTATTCATTTCAGGGTGAGGTGGACTTACATTTATCAGCCCTAAGGAAGGAACTGTAGAAAAAAGACCTTGTTGATAGAAAGAGTGTAGTTCATGGAGTAACTGTAACTTCTTACAGTTCTATATAATAGAACTGATGTGATCTACAGTTGCAGGGTTTGAGCCCCTCATTTCTCTAGCTTGAAGCAGCCATTTCCCTAACCAAACTCAGATTCTACAGTACCAATATCTCCAGGAAAGTCATCACTACAATTATGCACTGCTAGGTTTAGAATTAACCTCATGGAAACATCCACTCTTTGCTTTAAATTGTTATTTTGGCTCTATTTCTGTACAGAATTCCAAACTTTTTTACTAACATTTAAAGGAAGATTTTATACTCTGTCAAAATCAGACTTTATGTTATTTATCCATTTTTGAAAACCTCCAATATGTAGTTACTATTTTTTTCCAGAACTAAAAAAAGACTTTATTGAGGGCAAGAGGATGCAAACAATATAAAAATCAAAAGCTTATCTAGCATTTGACTAACTTACTCTGCTTGTCCAATGTGAGTTGGATGTTATTTGTACACTTTCTAAGTGTCCTGATCTGCTCATGAAACCTTTATAAAAGGGGAAACTGAGGAGCAGATTCCCTAAGTGGCCCTTTGGAAGAACTCTCATCAGGGCAGGAGTAAATGTTCGAGTCTGACTATTTCTTTCCCTTCTGCTTCATGTGCATTACGAAATAATTGCACGCAAAGGTGAGGCCTCAATTAGTGAAAAGAAGCGCTGGAGGCCCACTTTGCCATCTCGGCACTGGTCCGTGTCCTTCATGATTTTGTCCACAGCCAGAGGGTCTTTTTGATTTTCCAAAAACCTAAGGAACTCCTTTTCCATGAGTACTTGCAGGTCCTCTTTCATTAAGTAGCCTTTGTCCCTGGCAAATTTGTGAAACGTAAACATCATGCTTTCCATGTTGTGTTCCATTTAGGATGGCATTTGGGCGAAGTCTGTTGAAATCTGGGCGCACAGGCGCATGGTCAGGTGGCGGGCGGGGAGAGGGGACTGTAGTAACTTTTTTTTTTTTTTTTTTTTTTTTTTGTAGTGGGGATTGAACTTGGCTCCTTGCATTTGTGAGGCAGGCGCTGGAACCACTGAGCTAAATCCCCCCATCCCTCATAGTGACTATTTTTAAAACTGAACTTCATGGATATTTTAGAGCCTCTCCCATTAATCTACCAAACAGATCTACCACTTTTGTCATCTCTAGCATATACACTACCCCAGACTGCATCACTCTGTATGATTAACTAAGGATGTATCTCTTGCCAAGTGGTTAGCAATTTGTTTTTCATCCATTTCTCTACAAATTAACCCAGTCAATGCATAAATACGAAAGTGATATTTCATGAATGAAAGTTAATGATATACTCGTTCAATGTATGTCCTAATCATGTAGCTAATTTTTTTAGATTTATTTTAGGAGTGTGAATGAGCTATATTTTAGAAATGTTTGATTTTGTTCAAAGCCTGTAGTAGTAATAACTAGAAAGCTATGATCTTAGAAGCTGAACTTGGGTAGTAGAGTGTGTAGGGGCAGACATGAATGAAAGGGAGCCGATGACTGATTTCTTAGGTTGCAGCAGAAAACAAGTCAGAAAAATAGTGCTTTAAATTTGGGAGGACAGCAAAATGACAAGAACATGTTTGTTGAGCTCTCATGTCTTGTTGTTCTAAGTATTCTAGTAATATTACTTATGTATCCTCTGTTGACATTCCTAGGAAGTACCTACCTGTTATCATTATCTTCCTGTACCAGTCAGTGCCCCAGTAGAGTACTGAAAGCACACAGAGGCATAATCATAAAGAGACTATCTGCCAGTATATGAGCAGGGCCTGGGAAAACCACAGGGATGGGAGATATGAATGACTAGCAAAAGTGTGGGTGGCCTTAGAACCAAAGAAGGAAGGGAGCAGTGCTACCCAAACCTAGTGATTGCTGACACTACAGAGGAGGAAGAGCCACCACCAGCACTGTCCTAGAATCTTGGCTCCTTCATTTTCTTGTTGTGTGACCTGGGGGAAGTACTTAGCCTCTTTAAACCTCTATTTCTTCATCTATAAAGTGGAGGATAGTGTTGGATATCATCTGTGGCTCTAAGCTCTAAATAAAGCCCATGTGCCTTGTTCTGTGTTATGGGGGTATAATCCTTACCAACAGCATCAGTGTGACTTGTTTGGATTCAGCCAGTAGAAGGTCAGGTTGCAGAAAAGAGAGTGGTTGGAACATTTCTTAATCCTCTGCCTGCCTCTATATTTCAGTGAATCCGCAAGCTAATTCTTATATTAATAACAAAGATCTGAGTAGATCCTTGTAGTTTTAGCAAAAACTCTCACATGCATCACTTCATTTAATCCATATGACAACCTTGTCTTGTTGTCATTCCTATTTCAGTTCTGCAAATGAAGAAGTAAAAGCTCAAAAAATCAAATATCTTGTCCAATATCCAAAAACTAGTTGTGACAGGTCCAGATCTCAGAATGCTTGTCTTCTGGCTAGAAGCCCCATGCTCTTTTTAATTCACCATGTAACATGATCAGCAGAGAGATCGCATAAGTCTGACAAATTGAAAGCAAAGCACAACAAAACAATCCAGTTACTGTTCTTTGCCAGGGATTAAAATGAAAATACAATAACTGTATTTGCTTTTAACTTAATGTTTCTGCGTATCCCATCATTCAACATTAAATAAGAGGATAATGAGAAACTGGAAAACTAGTCCAAAAGTATAAGTCAGACCCAGTTACATTAGCATCATGCAGACATCATAATGAATCCCAAGTTTGAGCAATGGCTTTGGATTATGCAATACCTAGATCAAGTCACTTTCTTAACCAACAGGGAAATAGTTAAAATTCAAAGTTATGTATAGGGAATGGGCTTCAAGAGGAAACAGACCTGTTTTCTTACAGCTGCTACAAAGCCTGACATGCAATAGTCTTTTGATACCTATTACTAAAATAAACAAATGACACATTCCAACCACCCATGATACACTAGGCCAATAACTATAAACCAAGATGTGGTCATCCAGAACACAATCTAAATGCTTTGTAATTTGTCCATTTATTCCTGGAGCCCATGGGATAAATGTATAAGCCATTTGAAAATATATTCTATGAAATGAAGGTATCACTAAAACCGCTTCAAACAGCACTATTACAACTACCTTATATTATGACATAATATTATGACATCATGATCTGCATTCATGAAATTGACTGAAACGAGGTTATTGCATTACTTGCCCTTCTGATTTATCCTCCAAACCCTGTGCTCTGTGGACAGCATGACTTTCTTTCTTTCTTTGGCTTCCTGTTGGGTTTGGCCAAAGGGGAGCCCAGCAGGAAACTGGAGGCTGGGAAGAGAAGGAGGTCATGATATTGATTTCCTCAGTTACTTTCTCAACTTTTTTCTGTTGGGTTCCTCTAATTTGGCTTTATTTTTATAACAAAGACAACCAGTCCTATGAGACAACTCTCTAGTTGTTCCTTGAACCATGCCTATACCTTTGTAGATAGTTCCTTCACTAAACTCTTTATGGTTACCCCTGTGAAGTTTGCTATCTATTTCCTGCCAGAACCATGACTAATACAATTACAGTTTAGGATGAAAACAGTGAAACAAGCCAGGAAGATGCATTCTCTCCCCAGGCAAGCCTCTAATCCCCCTTTCTCTGAAAATATCCTGGCCATATCCCTCCCCTGTTCCTGTGGCTCAGACTCTAGCTTCTGTACTGATATCTGCACCAACAGCACAGGAATCAGATGACAAGGCACATACTTCTGCATTCTGCCCGGGGTCTGAACACAATGCAAGACAAGATATCACTTACTGTGTGTCACGACTAGGTAAAAGGGGATGAGTGAAGAGATACAGAGAGACATGACACATGAGAACAATAGAGACAGAGTGTGAAAAGCGAGAGGAAAAAGTTGGCTATAGAGGGAATAAAAAAATGGAGAAGGAACAAGGCCATCTACTGACATTAAAATACAACCCACCAAAACAACGAAGGAAATTCAGAAAGCACTTGAGACGCAGGTCTACTTGAGTCCTGGATGCAAACTGCTCATGTGACAAGTTAGGGGAGTCAGAAAAGGGAAAATTCCATTGAACTGGGCTGTCGTATTAGCAGCAGATCAAGCAATAAAGTATACTCTATTCACTTAAAGCAGAAACCAGATATTTTATTCTTAATAAGTGATTAGATTCACTATTGGTCTAATTTATTTGAAATTTCCATTTTCTGTACAGATATTAACA